TCAGATGAAATTATAAGATCTTAGTATATACCCCCTAGAGACATAATAACATTGTGTTTATATATACCCCCTAGAGACATAATAACATTGTGTATATATAACTCTTTAAAATGACATATTTTGAGTTGTTCTTTCAGATGAAATTATAAGATCTTAGTATATACCCCCTAGAGACATAATAACATTGTGTGTATATACACCCCCTAGAGACATAATAACATTGTGTGTATATACACCCCCTAGAGACATAATAACATTGTGTGTATATATAACCCCTAGAGACATAATAACATCGTGTGTATATATAACCCCTAGAGATATAATAACATCGTGTGTATATATACCCCCTAGAGACATAATGATATTATGTGTATATATACCCCCTAGAGACATAATAACAGTGTGTGTATATATAACCCCTAGAGACATAATAACATCGTGTGTATATATAACCCCTAGAGATATAATAACATCGTGTGTATATATACCCCCTAGAGACATAATGATATTATGTGTATATATACCCCCTAGAGACATAATAACAGTGTGTGTATATATACCCCCTAGAGACATAATAACAGTGTGTGTATATATAACCCCTAGAGACATAATAACATTGTGTGTATATACACCCCCTAGAGACATAATAACATTGTGTGTATATAACTCTTTAAAATGACATATTTTGAGTTGTTCTTTCAGATGAAATTATAAGATCTTAGTATATACCCCCTAGAGACATAATAACATTGTGTTTATATATACCCCCTAGAGACATAATAACATTGTGTATATATAACTCTTTAAAATGACATATTTTGAGTTGTTCTTTCAGATGAAATTATAAGATCTTAGTATATACCCCCTAGAGACATAATAACATTGTGTGTATATACACCCCCTAGAGACATAATAACATTGTGTGTATATATACCCCCTAGAGACATAATAACATTGTGTGTATATAACTCTTTAAAATGACATATTTTGAGTTGTTCTTTCAGATGAAATTATAAGATCTTAGAATATATAGGAATAGTTTAGCAAACTAACGTCTAAAATCGGGAGTCTCCCTTGTTAATAGGGAGAGTTGGCAAGTATGAAATTGGGTTGTCATCCATCAAGGTCAAAGGGTTAAAGGGTCAAAGGTTTGTTTTTATTGTACTTAAGTTGTTTACTGTACATGTATACAACAGTACAACATCCTAGTATATCTAAACCATAACAAAACAACTTAAAATACATGAACATAAAACACAAACATAGAAAAATTGTCAGGTTTGTAGATATTTATAGCTATAATTCATCATCGTAATAACTATATATAAAGGTTGTCATATTTATCGGCATCGTACTATGTGGGTCTGTGGAGTATAGCTGTAAGCAGAATGGGATGGCTTTTGGTGTGCTTTTTATCCAAAACAAGATAAACTTTTTGTTTATGACAACAACAAATTGACCCCACTTAGCCCAGAGGTATAGTTACTGCCCCCTGGGGTTGATCCGGACTGGTCAGTTCATGGTACAGGTTGATGACTGGACAGATACAATCTACTGTTCATTAGCCTTGATGTCCAGACTATTCCATTATACCATTTGCAGTGACGGTCTGTGTCTGAGTATGTTGAACTTCACAGGCATAACTTGTCCTGTAGTTCAGCTATTGTCCAGATTGTGGCAACTTAATCAGAGTTGAACTTTTGCTGGTCCCTCGCTGGTTGTGGCAACTTAATAACAAAGTTACTGGTCCCTCCCTGGTTGTGTCAACTTAATAGCAAAGTAACTGGTCCCTCCCTGGTTGTGTCAACTTAAAGTAAATGGTCCCTCCCTGGTTGTGTCAACTTAATAGCAAAGTTACTGGTCCCTCCCTGGTTGTGTCAACTTAATAACAAAGTAANACTCGTCAAATATAAACTATAATCCAAAAAATACACTCAAAAAGAGAACAACTAAACGATTTTTGAAAATTAAACGAAAAAATGAAAAAAATACACGGTAAGGGTCCACCAGTGGTTGTCCACTTATTTCTTCAGAATGGAAAGTATGTTGGAGCCTATGTCGTCAGCTTAATAATTCTGCAAAGCTGTGGAGTTATAACTTCTAAGTCTGAGCCTATAGTTTTCCAAAAAATTCATTCACCGCTAAAGACACATTTGAACTCTTCCAATTCAAAGGTTGGAATTTAATAGTTCATTATGAAATTTCAGGGGTGAATGAGTTAATATCTTAGCTCTATACTTCAGTGTATAAGTCTGATGACCGTCGTCTATTGCCCCAGTAGAGTTGTCAAGTCTGAGCCTAGCTTCCCTTAAAACAGCCATTATGTCATCATTAAACAAGTACATTAATGACACCCTCCCTCCAGGACACCAGGATATTACATGATAACTTAGTGATACCCATTCATACAGCTGCATGGAAGGACTGGAAAATTGGTTTAGGCGTCTAACCGTCTGGATCGATCGATCACTATAGCCCTCCACCACTGGGTCGTGGGTTTGAGGCCTCCATGGTTTTTCCCTCGGTACTCAGGCTTTCCTCCACAACCGAAACCTTACACATTCTTAAATGACCATAGCTGTTAATAGAACGTTGAAAAAAGCACAAACAAATAAACCGTTACACGATTACTTAGTGATAGCCATACAGCTGCATGGAAGGACTGGAAATTTTTTGTTGAAATTTCTTGTTACTAGATACAGCAAACTATGGTACCTGTAGCTGAAGTTGAACCCTGACATTTTGGTCAACAGCAAAGAGTCCACACTACTGGGTGACCTGCCCCTGGCAATTCATTACAGATGTCATTGCTTGTAGCTAGCCTCCTTTTATGTATGGAATATCTTCCCTCAGTGAATGGCTATTCAATCTGTAAAGTTCTATTTAAATGTTAATATTATTGTGATTTGATACCATAGAAATGGAAATTATAAATAAGAATAAAAGAAACAATTTTGGAAAGGTTACAGAGAATGGAAATACAAGGTATATAGCTCGGGAATAAACAAGATAAGGTGAAGATGGAAGGTGTTACAGTTAACACAAAACTTAACTGGAAATTGAAATCAAACAGACGGAGGGGAAGATCAAGGCGACATTATTTTGTGCTGAGTATACGATCATCATTCCTGCCCTATCTCATGTCACAATGATGTCACTGTTTAAATCTACAGCGTGACAAAATGTTCAAATATGTAACGCCTGACACATAATGTGGAAAAATTTAACAAATATGTACATGATCGATGCATAACAAGGAAAATGTAAATCAGTAAAGTTATGTACATACACTAGTCAGGTGTGTAAAATGCATGCCACATACCTGTGGTCTAGTTCTTACCTCTAGGCATACATACTTGACCTGTATGCATAACATGTAAATATATAGGTGAATAAACCTCCACAGCTTACAACTGGTCGCAGCCACTGGGAGAAATGCTACATTATTGTGTCATAGTGCCTATGGTCATTATGTATTTTTTCATTGTTAGATCACCTGGCCTTAAGTAAGGGCCAAGTGAGCTTATAATGTATTTGATGGTGCACTGTCTGTCCATCCAGAGACAATGTTTACTTTAAACAAATTCTTCTGCCTAACAAAGAGGCCTATAGAGTAATGGCCAGTAGTATGATAGGATAAAAGGCTATCAAATTTATTCAAATGAATGATCTTGAACTACTTGCTAGGTCACAGATTGAATGTCTTAGAATTGTTATACAAATATTTCCTGAATAACCAATCAATGGTTATGATTAAGCCAACAATATGCTTAGATGATGTTTTTTTAATTTTTATCAAATGTGTGACCTTCTGGGTCACAGGAGTCAAATATATAAACAATACATAACCAGGAGACCTATCATCATGATATTTGGCCTGTTGCTTGCTGGGTGGAAAGGCTATCAGGTTTGTTTAATGAATGACCTTGACCCACTTTAAATGTGAAAGAAGTCAGATCATTTAAAACCTTGAAACAATTTCTTCTAAATGTTTGACCAGCAGTGTGCATGGATGAAAGACTATCAAGTTTCTTCAAATAAATAAGGGTTACAGGGTGTTGATGTCTAAATATCCAGGACGCCTAGGGTCATGATATTTAGCCTGCAGCATGCCATGGTAAATGGATATTACGTTTGTGAGAATGACTTTGACTTATTGTGAAGGTCACATGAGAAATAGAAGTTAAAATATATAAATTGTAGAGTGATTGTACTTAGTCTGTAGTAATAATGTTGTTTAAATAAATGTGACATTGACACACTTTGAAGGTCACAGATGTGATAACAGCAAGGAATAACAAATGAACCGTTGATACAGGCCTATTGGGACCCTTCAATTATTCAGAATATTTTGTTGCAAAGTAATTTGCTGACTTTATATTTGCACCTGAACACTCACCTGACTTTATTACAGCATTAAAAACATTTCATAAATAAATTCCACTTAATGTTATAAAACTTTGCATCATCTTAAAAGGTATTTGTAATGATAGCCTGGATTTACTACATCTGAGGGGCTTGCTTTTAATGCATTTTATGTCATACTCATCGGCAAATCAGCCATTCCAATCCAAAACATTGATGTTCTCACTAAGACTTGCTTTAACTGTTGATAGTTAAAAAATATACACCATCCAACCTGCATAATATATCAGATTTCATCTGGCTGTTTTGGGAAGGAAAGCTAAAATCTTGTTTTGTTATGGGAATTAGCAAATGAAGGTTTGAACCAGTGAAATATTTATTATTCCTGTGTTTACAATTACCAGGTACAGCATTGTACAGCAAAGTATGTATGTTTTATATACTAAAGTACTTAGATGTACAATTACCAGGTACAGCATTTATGTATGTTTTATATACTCAAGTACTTAGATGTACAATATCTCTCTTAGTAAGAATTGTCGTTGGAATACAAAATTTGGATAATGAAACAAATGCATGGTTCAGTAGGGTTTGACTGTTATTTTACCTAAAACATGTCCTTTTTTGTTCCGTAGGCCCGAGGGTCACACGCCACGCCAGCTTCCTCCAACTCGGTCATGGTTACAGACACAAAAAGGGTAGGTAACAGATTGTTTACTGTGTTCCCATAAACATATAGAGGCTGTCACACAGATATCACTGTGACAAGCTACCTTTGTGAAGTTATGCTTCAGTTTTGTTGAAAAAAGTAAAAATAATGAAATAGAGACAAAGTTTGTCAAAAGTCTGTTTGAAAAAGAAAGCCATATTGCTTGTTAAGAAAATTTCACATGTGGAGATACAGTCTTTAAATAGTGTCTTCACGATCATTACGTTAATTACAAAAGGAGATTGCAATATATGAATGTATCATTTCGATGTTGCATTCCAATACAATATTTTCTGTAGCTTACTCTAGTATCAGAACGATTCTGTGGGAATACAAAGAAGGCCAAATTCAGTGCATGCTCAGTTTTGTTTTGTAGTTCATTTAAGCTTGTACTGTATGAGATACGAATTACAATGATTAAGACATTCAATTCTGTAATTTAACTTTGTTGAGTAAATAAACAAAGTTGTACTGTGACATCTCCAAAGGATGGCGCTGGTTTCAGCCGAAAAACAGAGGAGATAAATCAAGGCGACCACATAATGCACGTAAACTAAAAATACGATAATTTCTCTACAAATTGATATGAATACACACACACACACACACTTTCTGTTGGTCTGTTAAGACAGATGTGTTCAGCTGTGTGACATATTTATACAAACATACCATGTATTTTACCTGGGGGAGGGTTATCCCTGTAGACTTACTTATACACAAAGCATGCACTTTGTGGTTTGTGTGATAGCACTGTTATACAGATCTACAGAAAAAACAATGTTATAGATGTGGCAATTATAGAAATAATATATTTATTTGTGATTCTAAAGATGTATCAGATTATATGCAAGAATGAAATCTTTGGTGTTTGTAAAATGTACCGTGATTCAGAATTGAACAAGTAATTAGTGATTAATTAATCATACAGACAGTTTTATAATAAATCAGCCGTTTATTTATTTAGTTTGATGTAAACATGATGGGACATGGCCTTCCGCAATTCTTAGGTTTGATACCAGCTGGTACAGTCGTGGAAGTACGGAGGTATTCGGCTTATTACTGGTTCAGTCGGGGAAGTACGGAGGTATGCGGCTTATTACTGGTACAGTCGTGGTAGTATGGAGGTATTCGGCTTATTTCTGGTACAGTCGGGGAAGTACGGAAGTATTCGGCTTATTACTGGTACAGTCGTGGTAGTATGGAGGTAGTCGGCTTATTACTGGTATAGCCGGGGAAGTACGGAGGTATTCGGTTTATTACTGGTACAGTCGTGGAAATACGGAGGAATTCAGCTTATTACTGGTACAGTTGTGGAAGTATGGAGGTATTCGGCCTATTACTGGTACAGTCGTGGAAGGATGGAGGTATTCGGCTTATTACTGGTATAGTCGGGGAAGTACGGAGGTATTTGGCTTATTACTGGTACAGTCGTGGAAGTGCGGAGGTATTCGGCTTATTACTGGGACAGTCGGGGAAGTACGGAGGTATGCGGCTTATTACTGGTACAGTCGTGGTAGTATGGAGGTATTCGGCTTATTTCTGGTACAGTCGGGGAAGTACGGAGGTATGCGGCTTATTACTGGTACAGTCGTGGATGTGCGGAGGTATTCAGCTTATTACTGGTTCAGTCGTGGAAGGATGGAGGTATTCGGCTTATTACTGGTAGAGTCGGGGAAGTACGGAGGTATTTGGCTTATTACTGGTACAGTCGTGGATGTGCGGAGGTATTCAGCTTATTACTGGTTCAGTCGTGGAAGTATGGAGGTCTTCGGCTTATTACTGGTATAGTCGGGGAAGTACGGAGGTATTTGGCTTATTACTGGTACAGTCGGGGCAGTACGGAGGTATTCGGCTTATTACTGGTACAGTCGTGGAAGTACGGAGGTATTTGGCTTATTACTGGAATAATCATTGATTCAAAGATGTAGGTCCCATGTCTCAGTAAACAACAGGTAGAGATAGGGATATTAGTTCAGAAGTGACTAACTATAAACTAAACCCAGTAGTTTGAGTAACAGTGTGGTGACGTCATGGCCACTGTTGTTGAGAGGTCAACGTTACTGTACCCAAATCGGGACACTTTTTAGATAAATATCTATGTTCTTTATACCATACTATCATTTCCAAAAATATTTGTTCATTTTTCATCAATAGATATACCATCCACTTTTCATTTCTATTACAATGTGATATTTCGGGTACATGGTTCTATCAAAAGAGTTATGTAGGCCCTTGAACCAGCGTTACTGTACCCTGAAAGGGACACTTCCGGTATTTTGGCGAATGTTTGGGAATAAATGATCAATATCGGCAGAAAATATGCATAGCTGAAATATTTTAGAGTCAACCAGGGTTCTGACTTAAATTTCTTCTTCTAACTAGCATTAGTTTTGATAAAACAGACTTTTGAAAATGATATCCAAATAAATAGCGTCGCACGGCTCTTAAATCAGAAAAGTCTTGTTTTGGTAATTATTCTTACCTTTAAATTGTCCATGTAACGATAATCAGTGGCCAATTAAGCTTAATACAGTTTAATTGTCATAAAAAGTATTATCAAATGAAAACTGCACATAAAAGTACTTCTTTGCATTGAATGACAGTTTCTTGGGCCATTTTCCTACAAATGTCTCGTTTTGGGTACTGTCCCAATTTGGGTACAGTGACGGTACATTTCAAAAGTCAGAATCCATCCAATTTTAATACAAATGGAAAACTTGATTGCTGACTACTTCCTGATCTTAAAATTGTACCAAATGATCTCTAATACTTTTGGCCCCTGGTCAGTTCACCTCCTCCGCCTAAGACACCTCTCATTCATCATCAACAACCCTCACTGTGTTTAAACCTTCAGCTCAGTTCACTGCTTCCTGCTCTAACAAGAAAATTACGATAAATTAAAAAGTACTTTATCTAAGCTCATAAATCATGCTTCAATGTCCAGCCTGCCGTGTTTTAAAGATAGATCAATTCATGTAAGCCCTGAGGAGGTTTTGAGGGTCTAGAGAAATGTTGACATGAATGAAATATGTTTCATTCTGAAACTTGGGTGTGGGTGTTGTCTTTGGTTATATCAAACACTCTGATAGAAAGCATGTTATGAAAGACACTGCGCTGTCAAAAAATCTGCTTGAGTGTAATATTGTGTGTATTACTTTTGACTTCTTTAGAATATTAAGTCACTAGCAGGTGTGACCACAGAGGCAGGTATGTGTGTGTTAATGTCTATCAGACGTTATTAATGTATAAGTATCAGTTATACTGTAGCAGCACGGATCAACATACCAAACACAGGAAAACATTTCTCCAGTTCTGTCAAAAGCTATTCCATAGTGTGCTTACTAGTTTAGATTGATATAATCTTAATGGAAAATCAACACAAAAACATTGGAACTTTAACTAAGTTTTTTACACCATACCATTGGATGTTTCTGAACATTCTACATTCTAGCCAACAACTAATCTAAAAAAAAAGGTTAAATATAACATTGTGTACATGTAGTAGAACCTGGTGATCATGGGCTGTGATTGCCCAGTACACCTGGTGCTGTGATACTAGGGAACATACTTCAATCAGTGATCCATTATTTGTTCCCTGAAAGTAAAGACAAGATATTTGGCACGGTAGTCTAGTGGTCGGACGCCAAGCTCGTGACCGAAGGGTTGCGGGTTCGAGTCATGGTACTGTGTTGTATCTTTGAGCAAGATACTTAACTCTGCTTGTTCCAGTCTACTCAGCTGTAAATGAGTACGTGGTTGGGCAGTGCTAGAATTGTTGAATGCTAGCTGTAAGCGCCGAAATGGTAGCACCACCTGTTTGCTCCCCAGGGAGTTGAGAAAGATATTGGCTGATTGCAAAGGCCCTATAACAACAGATAATAATTTGTGAACCACTTTGAGATGACTTACGAACTAGGTTGTGATAAAGCAGTACATAAGAACCTCAAATTATTATTATTATTATTATTATTATTACACTGTATTATATATTTAACATTGTATACTGATTACTTAATGGTGATTAGTGTAAGAAAATGTAAAACTCTTGCTGAGCATGAAACATAAATACTGTTGGACCTTTTATGCTTTGTGACACTTTCTTTGGAAATTCTATTCAATGAAAAACTGCCAGAATATAAGAAGTTTGAAAGTTCAGTGATTGCAATTGTGTTACATCAAATATGAAGGACCCCTATACCACTGCCCAAAACTGTATACTTATCAAATTAATAAGTGAATATCATCTTCAAACTCAAAGGTCGATTGCTAAAATAAACAAAAATATCCATTTGTATAATATATCTTGAAAGAAATCTGATATAAATCCTAATATATGGTTGAAAGATTTTTAATGATACTGATGAACCAGATCTTAGTACGATTTGATAGCTTACCTTAGGTTGTTGGTACGATTTGATAGCTTACCTTAGGTTGTTGGTACGATTTGATAGCTTACCTTAGGTTGTTGACCTCTTTTAAAAGTCACCCCTATAAAAAATTCATAGGGAAGGTTAATATTGCAACAATGAAAAGAAAATTAGGTAGACTATTTTGAAATGGATTTAGACTGATCTGATAGTTTCAACTCCCAATGAAATCTGATATGTTAAAAATACACCCTATCACAAAGGGTTTTACTGTTAGTTGTGTTTTACATTTATGTTTTTAAGGAACGTTTGACTTTGAAACCAATGGGGTAAAATAGCTGCTGGCCAGAAGCTTATAGAACAAAGATAGCTGTCATATCTATGGAGATTTCTGCCTCCAGGGTACCGCATACCTAAAATGAAAGGTTTTGTTTTGTCAACTTGATCTCTGCTTTAGATTGTGGCGTTTAGGCTTTGGAAGATCACCTGTCATGTTAGACTTGTCATGAAAAACTACTTGACATAAAAAAACACTTGAATCTCATGTCATCAACAATACACATGGAAGTGTGCCAGTCAGAGGAGACGCAAATCTTGTGAAAAGATTCTGTTACGTGAAAAAAAATGTTTATATTGAGAGAAAAATACCCATTGAGATATCCATCACTAGTTCAAAGAGAAATTCTTGAAAGACTACAGCCTGCAGATTTGAAAAAACATTTGGGCATATTAACACCTGTCACTTGTCTTCAGACTACCTGTCAGTAGAGACCACTTGTCTTCAGATTACCTGTCATTAGAGACCACATGTCTTCAGAATACCTGTCATAAGAGACCACCTGTCTTCATATTACCTTTCTTAAGAGATCACTTGACTTCAGACTACCTTTCTTAAGAGACCACCTGTCCTCAGATTACCTGTCATAAAAGACCACCTGACCTCAAATTACCTGTCATAAAAGACCACCCGACCTCAGATTACCCGTCATAAAAGCCCACCTGTCCTCAGATTACCTGTAATAAAAGACCACCTGACCTCAGATTCCCCGTCATAAAAGACCACCTGTCCTCAGATAACCTGTCATAAAAGACCACCTGTCCTAAGATTCCCCGTCATAAAAGACCACCTGTCCCCAGATTACCTCTCATAAAAGACCACCTGCCCTCAGATTTCCTGTCATAAAAGACCACCTGACCTCAGATTACCCGTCATAAAAGACCACCTGTCCTCAGATTACCTCTCATAAAAGACCACCTGACCTCAGATTACCTGTCATAAGAGACCACCTGTCTTCAGATTACCTGTCATAAAAAACCACATGACCTCAGATTACCTGTCATTAAAGACCACCTGTCCTCAGATTACCTGTCATAAAAGACCACCTGTCCTCAGATTACCTGTCATAAAAGACCACATGACCTCAGATTACCCGTCACAAAAAAACACCTGACCTCAGATTACCTGTCATAAAAGACCACCTGACCTCAGATTAACCATCATAAAAGACCACCTGTCCTCAGATTACCTGTCATAAAAGACCACCTGTCCTCAGATTACCTGTCATAAAAGACCACATGTCCTCAGATTACCTGTCATAAAAGACCACCTGTCATAAGTGTATGACCACTCATCTTGATATTTCAACTGACCTCTTGTTATGAGAGACCTATTACACAGTTTTTTGTGAGTTACCTGTCACTTTAAACTGGACAGGTCTGAATGCAAAGGTAACTAGATGTTATGCCTTGCATTGAAGTTCTGGTAAAATGTCCTGTCTCCGCACAAGGTCATTGACAACAAGGTGCTGTGAGGTGCAG